AGGAAATCTGAGCCAGCTTCCAGGAGGAGGAAGACTCAGCCTTGGAGGAGGCAGCTGCCCTGTGTGCTCCTGGGACACCTGCCTGTGCTTTCCCCCGTCACAGCACTTACCACTGGTTTCTTCTCTGGAGCGTAGCTGTGTGACCCCGGGAAAGTGACGTACCCTCTCTGTGCCCTGGGTTCTTTCTCTGTAATATTGGGCTAGGGGCAGTGCCTCCTTCGTCACAGAGTGTTGCCCTCCTTCCTGGATAAGTAAGCTGTAAAGATGGCAGACTTTAGACCCCATCTGCACGTGGTACCAGCTCAGTAATGCCTGTCATTATTCCTCTGTGATTCCTGGCTGCACTCTCAGCTCTTGTGGATTCCTGCTCGCCCACAGAATGGCCGTGGCTGTTAGAAGTCACCTGTGAGCTGATCCGGGGAGGCATCTTCCCCTGGAGAACACAGTCTGGGTCCTCAAGGTGCCTGGAAAGTGCCTGGGCCAACAGGTTCCCGTAGGGAGATTCTTCGGGGATTCGCTGGGCTCTGCAGCCAGGAGAGCTGGAAGTCTGCCCAGAGCCCAGTGGGGGGCTCCCTGGGAGCTTGGGGGTGTCACTGCCGTCCCCAGAGCTGCCAGGTGCAGACAATAAACCAGGGAAACCCTGGTGGGTGAGTCATTAGCGGTCCCCAAGGCCCCATGATGGGGGATAGCAGGCAAGCTGCTCTTGGCTACTGCTCCTGGGGTCTCAGTGCCACCATTCAGGAGGGTTCCAGAGCCCAACCTGGTGGGTCCAGTCCCGGCTTCTGGGTTGGCCTCTGCCCAGCACCCAACACTGGTTCCAGTGGGTCCCAGAAGTACAATGACCACCACCAGCGTCGCCCCCGCTTCCTGAGGCTGTTTAGGGGATGTTGAGGCTTACACGGGGCTGCTTGGAGGTGGCAGCATGCACTATCTCCATGGAGGGCTCTGATGTCCTTCCACAGGAGCCCCTGGAAGGTGCAGACCATCTGTCACTTAGGACATATTTAGAAGAGAATGACAAAGGGACCCAAAGAGGCAGAAATGTTGGGGAGGGGGAGGACACAGGCGGCAGGATTTAGATAATGGCAGACAAAGGCGGAGGGGCTGGAAGGAGCAGGGCGCAGCCCCTCTTGGCTGGGGGATACCAGCCTTTCCCTCTTTCTAGTCAACAGCCCTCCCGAGCCCCTTGTCCCAAATCCCCCAGCCGGGGTTTAGAATTGTGGCACCAGCCCGACTGCAAAGACTGTGTCAGTCACCACCCCCCCCCGGCTTCCTGTTCCTCTGTCCAGGTCTCACCATGCGCCCCCACCTCTGGGCCCTGGAGAGCCCAGGTGTCCCCCCCATGCCCTGGGCGGTGCCTTGGGTCCCCCGCTCTGTGCTCCCAAAGCCCCGGGCCTCCTACCAAAGCACGACACTCTGTCCTGGAAATGTCCGTTGAGTCCACGTCTCCCACCAGACTGTGGCCTCCTGAGAGCGGAGTTGGTCATTCTGGTGCCTGCTGGGTGCCCAGGGCCCAGCATGTGCACGGCACCCAGTAGGTGCTCAACAAACTGTCTGCACAATGACAGTGGATGTGTCCGTGGGGAAGCTCCTGTCCCCAGAGCTCCACTGAGGGCTGGCTTCACCCCCCACCCCCACCCCGCTCCAGAGAAATCTCTCTCTCCCTGACCTTGCCCTGGGTGGCCCCAGTGCCCCTTGTGCTGGAGAATGGATCCAGGAAGGAACGGTCCTCCAGATCACCCCATTTTGCCCCAGGGGAGAGGGAGCCCACACTGTGGGGCTTTCGGCAGGAGACATGGGCTCCTGCTAAGAGGCACAGTTGTATGTTGGGGTCAGTCTCTTGACTTCAACACTTAATCTGTGTGACCTTGAGAAAGAGCTTAACCTCTCTGGGCTTTGGTTTCCCCCGACAAGGAATACTTATACTAGGAGTAGCTTATGGGGCGCCTGCGTGGCTCAGTCGTTAAATGTCTGCCTTCGGCTCAGGTCACGAGCCCAGAGTCCTGGGATGGAGCCCCACATCAGGCTCCCTGCTCGGCAGAGGGCCTGCTTCTCCCTCTCCCACTCCCCCTGCTTGTGTTCCCTCTCTAGCTGTGTCTCTCTGTGAAATAAAGAAATAAATAAAATCTTTAAAAAAAAAAAGAAGAGTAGCTTATGAGAGAAGAGCTGGAGGCTGGGCGCTGGGGCAGGACACGTGCAGCCCTAATCCCATCTCCCACAGCTGTGCCAGCCTCAGCAAATCCCGCTAACCTCTCTGGGCCTTGGAGTCCTTATCAGCAAGCGGGGCTCAGGAGATGCTCCCTCTGGGTGGAGGGGTCCAAGGAGGGAGGGAGGGAGCACTCAGGGGAAAGGAGCAGTGATTTTCCTGCCTCTCCATCACTTCCTTTTGCCCTGGATAGGGAATCATTCCTTCCTCTCTGCCACCCACCAGCTAGACCCAGCCGGCACAGGTCTGCACAGGGCCCAGGGCAGGGTCAGCGGTGCGGGGATGGAGTGGGATCCGGGGGATATGATTGCTCAGGGTGAGATGGCAGACAGGAACGGGAAGAGCTGGGATGAGGGGGGGGGAGTACACCTGCCCTGCCCCCCCATGGGGAGGGCGTTGGGGGGGGCAGGGTCATGGGGAAGCAGAAGCCACCAGGGCCACTTTCCTGGCCTTCCCGACATGCTGCTGCCTGGAGCCCAGGAGGGGCTGGCCATCTGCCAGCCCTGAGTGGAAATGCCCCAGTAAAAAGGGCCTTATTGGGACCCCTGTGGAGAGGGCCCTGGGTGCTGTCAGGGAGGAGTGAGAGACTGAGAACCTGGGGGCCGCTGGAAAGGGGTCCAGCCCCACCCAGCACTCCCTCCCTCCTCCCCGCCCTCCTGGCTGCTCACCCCAGGTTCAAGTACACTCAGGGGCGTGGCTACCCAAGCAGTGGGGAAGACAACCGGGAATTTTGGGGCCGGGGGTCACTGGGAGGCTATGCGTGAGTGAGTGTGCTTCTAGCTGTGTGTGCTCTGGGTCTTTGTGTGCCCGGCGTCTCTGTGCCGCTTTTCTCTGGTGTCTCTATAGTGTGTCTGATGTTTGGGTGTCTCCGGTGTTTCTCTGCGGTGTGTGCGCGCGTGTGGTCTCTGTGCGCTGTGCATCTCCGTGGTGTGTGTGTGTGTGTGTGTGTGTGGTGGCCCGTGCGCCCTGCGTCCAGTGGGCCTGTGGGCGGGTGTCCCTGTGTGCGTGTCTGTGCTGAGTGGCAGGTGTGAGGCTCAGGGCCCACGCTCAAGGTCCTCTGGACACAGAATCCACGCTGTCGGGGAGGAGAGGGAGGGCGGAGAGAGGGCAGGAGAGCAGGCCCGCCCGAGAGGAAGAGCGGAGCCCCGCGCGGGGAGGGGCGGGACCGGTGTGTGTGTGTGTGTGTGTGTGTGTGTGTGTGTGTG